AACTCATCATGGCGGCCGGACCATGAGTTCGACTGCTCGGTTTCGTTCGCACCTGCTCGGACAAGCTCAAGATAGCGTTGCACTATGGGTACAAGGCGCTCAGGGACTAGCTATGGGGGATATGACCCCAGATACCCACGGCAGACCACATAGGCTGTGCCCTCAGGGGCAGCCCAGCCCACAAGACGAAGCCTTGCGTGGCACGACTCTGGTCAGCGCCTTCCACAAGACATCTGGAAGATATCCTGAAGATACTACGAGATCTGTTAGGATATGTATGATTCCAAGATTCCTGTAATCAGTTATTACTTTTCGGTTATCTCTCAGATCTAACCGACTTGTAACCCTGCTCTCCGGACTATATAAGGCAGGCAGGGACCCCCTCCAAACTCACGCAATATCATACGATAGCTAATACAAACCAATAGACCACAGGAGTAGGGTATTACGTCATACTGACGGCCTGAACCTGTCTAACTCGTGTGTCTCTGTTGCCTTCTTATTCTTGATCTCACGCTCCTCTGCCGATCAATCTACCTTCGTGGGATACCCCTCGGAGGACTGCCGACGATATTCTGTTGACACCGACCAAATCATTGTTTATCTTGAACCTGACGGAAGATCGGGAACCCCTTCCCCGTCATGAGGTGAGGTCGAGCATAGCTAGGTGCGCCTTCTATGACAAGAGCAAGCATGCTGCACTGACCCCGCAAGGACCGAGGGGACAGCGGTCATCTCGGTCCGGTCAGACACCATCCCTGTGCCACGCCGCACTGACGAGACAACACCGCACCACGGTAGCAATGGGTATGACACCCACCGTCCAAATATGGACCAACTAGACACTTGTACGATCACACCCACTATGGGATGGGATCCACGACAAGGGGCTCGACAAAGGGCCATCCAGACCAGTAGAGTGCCCCGATCCCGACGATCGGGGTCGAGGCCCTTGGCCCTACAAAGCGACCAAGCGATAGACGATCTAGGGCAACTACCTACTTTGGGTACGACGCCCCTAGGAACCAGGAGACGATGACGAAGGCCACGACGGACACCGCGTTGCACAGGACGGTTGGCGAACCACCAACGAGGCTACAGTGCCGCCACAACCGGCGCAGTAGCACCATGTCACACCCTACCGCAACATGGCCAGAAGACCATGACGATAGCCACAACCGGACGTGCACTAGAAGACGGTGTAGCTTGCAAGCCAAGTTAGCTAGGCCCTCCCTCAGGCTCTCGACCCTTTGGTCAGGAGAACCTCCTCTTTGTACAAGCCCTGGCCCTGAACTCTATATAAGGGCAGCCAAGGCACCCATGTCAAGACGATTCACATCCTCTACCATTCCATTCTTTCACCATTGTAGTAGGGCTCCGGGAGCTTCTCTTCGAGCAGCCCTTCGCCTAGCATAGGTCCTTCCATCTCTTTCACCATTCTTGCAGCCCCTAATTGTAAGAACTTCAGAGCATTCAAGCGAGGAACACGCACTCGATCATCTCTGAGACTAGACGTAGGGCTCCGGCCTGAACCAGTATAAATCCTTGTGTCTATTGGATGCTACCATCGTGTTCCTAGAGCAGCGCGGCAATCATATAAGTTTACTAGTCTAGTTTACAAAACATCGACAAACAGCCTCGCCCGACCGCCGCCCCTAGGGACGCTGGCTAGGAGATGCGCAGAGAGAAGCCCGTTGGAGAGTCCGTCCCCTACCGGAACCAGCAAAGCCGGCCAGCAGCAAGCAGATCCTGCTAGCTCCGCCATGGAAGCCAACACGAGGAAGGGGGAAGGCAGATGATGGGAAGAAGAGGGTCGATATATGAAGAAGCCCCAGTCGCCAAGCCCACCAATGCCCCAACCCCTACCAAGCTGGCCCCGCATCAACCATGCCGCGCAAGACCTCCAGCAACCTCCGCCGGCCCCATGCCACCCACTCCGCCATGCCGCATAGCCGCCGGGAGCCGTTGTCGCCTCATCGTCGCTGCCGGCCACAACCCGGGAGATGCTACCATAGGGGATGGCGCTGGCCCGCACCGCCCCTGCTCCCCATGGCCGGCGCTCCACAGCTGCTGAAGTTGCTGCCTCTCCGCTTGGATCCGGCCTAGAGGGCACCGAATCCAGCAACCGGAGAACCAGAACCACGAGCCCGTCGGCGTGACCGCCTGGAGAGCAGCCCACCGCCTGTCGCAACCGCACGGATTTTGCCCCAGGAACACCAGATCCGCCGTCCTTGGCCATTGTCGCCGGCACCACCATAGCCGGCGGCCTCAGTCAGTGACCTCACCTGTCAAGGGAGGAAGGAAACCCCGACGCCACCTTCCTTGTGCCCGCGCAGGCGTCCTGACGGAGCACTCCAGCGGTGGCGAGGTGGAGGAGAGGAGGGGACAGGAGTGCGGCGGCGCGAGGTGGGGGTTCTGTCTGTGCCGCCCGCTCGAGTGTCGCGGGGGATGGATATCATAAGAAAACAAAGAAAGGTGTTTCGGCCACACCTTTATAGATAATTTTATTATTTTACTTGATAACTATTTATACATATCATTAAGGATTGGATATTATAAGGAAATAAAGAAAGGTGTTTCGGCCACACCTTTATATCCTGACGTTGAGACAAACATAAAAAAGAACAAGATTAAATGAGTATAGCCAAAAAAAAAGAATAAAGAGACAGTAGCGTGCTGTAGCAAGGCGAGCGTTTCTGTTGGCCTGGCGGAGGGTGCTCTCGTATGGCCAGGCATGTATCCAAAGCTCCAATCAAATATGATTCGCAAAAAAAAAGCTCCAATCAAATACACTCAGACAACACTTAGGTAACTGTTTACTTAGGTACCAACACAAGCTTAATCTCCTGGATCCATAGCACCAGATGTGTATTCTTAGTAATTCAGTTCCTAATTTGGTCAGTAAATTAGTATTAACACTCCTTTGATAATATATTGTTCACAAAAAAATGAATCACGCATGACACTTCATCTATCCACTTAAGCTAACAGCTTTTAATTAAGATGCAATGATATGCATAAACAATTGTACATCACTTAAGCCAACAGCTTTTGATTAAGATGCAATGATCTGTTCTAAGTGTCAGCAGAGAATGTATACACACTTGTGATCTGTGCTTCTGTGTAAAATCTGTTGTTATACACACTTGTGAATTAGTGATGTTCCATTCAGCTAGGTGAGTGAACAGCTACTGCTTTGCACAGGGGTGCACTCAAGTTTGTGCTGATTAGTAACTGGAATGGAGATTTAACCATGTTTAAATTCTGAGTACTACCGTTTGTCCATACTCCCAGTTAGGACAAATGGTTGCCACCAACAAAATCAAGGTACACATAAATTTACATGCTCTCTCTCAGTTCTATTCTTGCAATAGGTAATCTGCATAATTCATATATGAATCTTTGTAATTGCGTTCAAACTGAAGAAATGGCCCTGAAACTATATATACACTCGCATAATCATGTGACCATACAATGTTTGCGTTCAATCTTTAGTACTGTGATTGGAATAGATTTTACTGTGAACCATAATCAGGGAGTATGCAATGCTAATCACTACACACACTGTTAAGTAATAACAAGCAAGTATACAGAATTCTTTTTTATCTGTGCTTACAATTCTTATTATTAGCTTTTAAAGCTATGCACTTGCTGACTGTCAGTTCTTTTTGCTCGATCCAATTCTCATTTGCAGCAACAGTTCTAAAATGCTCAAAACCATTGACTCGTTAAAATTTAAACCGAACTACAGTCAGCCCCAAAAATTAAAGTTCCTCAAAACCATTGACTCTTTCCTTGCGCTCTGCATTTACATAATTATAAACTCAAATGCCTTCTAAATCATTGGCACTGAACATGGATTTATGGATTATTGCAAATTGCAAAGTACTACTTCAGGGAATCGAAGCGAAGTAGTCTTGGTCAAGCTCAATTAATAAGGCAATGATTTAGGAAGGTGTTATTGAGAGTTTTCTGTTTTTGTTTCGATTAACCATAGTCAATTTGGGCAAAAAGTTTGCAGTTTGTTCTAGGCTTCTAGATGTAACTTTTCCTATAGTAATCAAAGTTAGATCCTCTGTACTACATTTTTAGTACAGTTTAACTTAGTTCTGAAAATTACACCTAAAAGATGGTTTTCTTTTGGTAAGCGCTCAGCACTGCTTGAGTGAATTATGATCTGAAATTTAAAGCACGACACAAGCTTTTTTTACTACAGTATAGTATGACAGATGCATTTCATGTTAACCAAATTTCGCAGTTTCTAATACCTTCAAGATAGTCAGTATAGTTATTAGCTTGGTGCACTGCATGGTCAATGGAAACCAAATGCACAATAACTGAAACTGAATGTCCTTGGTCTAAAATGCCAGTAGTATGCACGGCCATTCTAAATTTACAGAGGGTTGCCATATAATGTACAACTTATTGGATTTCATTCAGACAAACAGAGCTCATCCAAACCAACCTGGGAACAAAGTGAGGATTAGGAAACTGTGAATTGAAGAACTCAAAAGTATGATGATTTAGTGAAAGCCAAAAGCTATAGTTGTTCTCTAACAACATGATGATGCTTTGGTGAAAAATGATAAGGCTCTGACTGCAATATTCTGACCTCGTTATCCATGCAGTCCACAAATTTGGTTTATTCAGAAAGAGTCTCTCTGATCTGTGCATACAACCCATATTGCAGAAGCCTGTAACCACATGATGACCTCCATATATGATATGTGATCCCTTTAGATTAATAAGGGAGCTCCAAAACCAGATAAAGAGTAAATCTCCTTTAGATTAAATGTCTCATGGTGCTGGTTAGATGGTTAAAAATATTGGATACCTTGTTTCCCTTTCCTTCTACTGTACTCTGCAAGAACTGTCCCACAGATGAGCTTCATATTTCCCACTCCATTTATGCCTACACAAATTGATGATAATTTGGCATATCCGTCCCATTATGCTTAGCAGACAAGGAGTATTTAATCTGCGATGAGCCAATATCAGTCTTATCCTTTCTGCCAGCCAGCCTTCTTGGGCAGCAGTGTCTGGTAGTTCAGCAACACACTGCCTGCAGCAATGGTGATGGCACCCAGAAACTTGCTTAGCTCATCACTGTTGCGCACAACGAGCAGTATGTGGCACTGCACGATCCGGTCATTCTTGTCTTCACACATTGTGTTGTTTGCCAGCTATAGGACCTGCAACTACAGGAGCACGACAAGGTTCAGTACACCTTACGATGGATTCATGAAGGAGGAAACTAAAGATGGGCAAGCACATAGGAAGAGAACCTTGCATCTCCTTGGTGACATTGGCCTGTGTATCGCGGAAGGCGGCGGCCTCCTCCTCCATCTCCTCCAGCCTGCACTTCATCTCGTTGAGCTCCTGCAGCTACACGAACACCAAGGGGGTCAACAACCCACAAGGACCTAGGGCTAGGGTGTAGCATAGACATGCACAAGGACCTAGGGCTAGGATGTAGCATAGACACGGATTTAGAGGTGGTACCTTCACCGCGTTGTCCCTGGCGGCGGCCATACCAACGTCGGCGCCGTCCATGTCGCCGTCCTCCCCGTCCATGGCGGCAATCTGACCCGATTCAGTTGCGGTAGGTGCGGTGGGGATCCTGGAGCGGCAGGACGAGATGGCCTGCCCGGCCTGGTCTCATCTACTATGGGAGAGCGGTAGTGCCCCGCTCAGCATCCTAGGACATGGTGTGCTCTCATCAACGACGGGAGAGCGGAGGCAGATCGGGCGGGAGGAGGGAGGAGCCGACTGTGGATGTAGAGTGGAGCTCGATGCAGGTTGGGCGGCAGCGTGACGGGGTGGGGCTGCGGCGTCGGCAGCGGAGGGGCGCAGGCGACGGCGGCAGATTCCGTCGGGAGCCGGGCGGGACAGGGGTTTCTGTTTTTTTTTTCCTTCTGGCGAACGGCGAGCGGGGAGGCGGGTGGGGCAGAGTGCGCGGGGCCACATGTCGGCGCCAAAAAAAAAACGCACGGTGAAAGCATTTCATGACCCGGCTTCACCACGGTAGTGGTACACAGGTCCTCTTCGTATTTTTTAGTTGTATGTATAGAAGAGACAGAGATAGGAGCACGTACTAGGGTTTCATGTAACCAACGTTATATACGATTTTAATGGGCTTGGGCTGTGGTGCTAAGTTTTAGCTCATGATGCCAGTAGCCTATCTTTGATATTGAACCAGATTTAATTTGTCCATAGACTAAATGGGTACCCAAACATTATCTGTTGGAAAAACTTTTTTTTCGTTAACTTACCTATAGTCCTATATACCTAGTAAAAACACACGGATTTCAAGTATCGGTATCCACTAGAAAACTCGGCGCGGCTTTGCCACGCCCTCCTTGGAGTTAACTAGCGTAGCATTTTTTTTTTTGCAAAAAAAAAAGGTTTAGCACTTGAGCTACAAGATTAGATATATGATGATGATGATTTTGAAGTTGAACTAAGTTGTTACTGGAGAAGAATACAACAACATCTTGCATTAGAACATTACTGAAAAGACCTGATCATCAAATTAGTGATTCAATTCAGATTCCTTAGTATGGATTCATATGCATTGCTCTCACTAAATGTGCAACTCCACAGCTGTATGTCAACTCTACAATAGTTATGCTGAAAGAACACTATGTCGAAGGGAAAAATTGCATGGCATTTCTCTATGAAATGTAACATCCTTGCACTCCCAAATATCTACAGGCAGAGTTTCATTTCAAGAGCCTGCATGGAAACAAAGAATACATGATGATGTATGAGAATGGGAGTGCTGTAGAGATACAACGAAGAAACATTTAGTTTAGCATATCTAACTTTTAGAATAGGTGAGCCCTACAAAAAGAAATAAATTTCTTCTAATAGAATAGAACTTGATAGAACACTCATTCATAATTGGGTGGATTACTAAAGATGATTTACATTTTAAGTCCAGAACAAGTACATAGCTGACCTTGTTCTTAGCGTCATAGGTAAATGTGATCGATAATATGCTTTCCTAATCTGTTTAGATCTTCTTGAGATGTGCATGTGAATTAATCATCTGCGGTGCACATAGAACACAAATAACTAGATTTTGTTGTAAGATCAGTGCTTACATAATATAATTATGCTAAATAATAATAATGCTTGCAGGTGAGCTGGTAGCCTGGCACAGAAGGTTGGATCTTGTAAAAAATTTAGACCGGCTATAGCACATGGATGTAATTTTCAAAAAAAAATCTGATAGCCTTACATTTTTAGAATCACAAAAGCAGTATATGAAGCTGGATTGAATTAATTACCATCTACATCGTAAGCACCATAGAAGACATGATCATCAGACACCATATCAAAAAAATTAGCCCTGCAAAATTGCCAGTGAGTAAAAGAAATGAGAGTTGATGCCTTTAGCCATTTCATTGAACACCTGGTATGCATACAATACGTACAATACGTGCCTCAGTTCCCATGCTACATGATTGAGTCCTCCTCCCTCGCGGCTCCACATTTTGCAAACGCCCAGCTTCCAATGGATGGGCAAGACATAATCGTGTGGGGCAAAGAGAGGCTTGGCCAGCTGATTGTGTATAATTTGGTGTTTGTGCAGCGGATAGCAAGACAATCAATATATCAGGAAGTCTGGCCATTGACATTGTGCGAGACTAATTCAATAGCATAGTTCACGCCTACTAGAGGCAACTGAATTTCAGGTCTCTCAAATTTGCTCTTTGAGGCAATATAATGTTTTGTGAAAGGATCAAGATGTCCAAGAGGGGAGGTGAATTAGGCTAATTAAAAATTTCTTTGCAATAATTAAGTCATATGGTTAGCCCAATTAATCCCTTGTGCCTAGAAAGTGTTCTAGTTGTTCTACCGCACAAAAGATTTGCAACCTAAGTTCCAATCCTACTCTAGCATGGCAATTCTATGAATGTAAGAACAAGAATTGAATTGCTCAAAGTAAATGCTCAAAGTAAATAGAGAGGAGAGGAAACGTGGTGATGTTTTGCCGAGGTATTAGAGAGTCGTCACTCCCCACTAGTCCTCGTTGGAGCACCCGCGCAAGGGTGTAGCTCCCCCTTGATCCGTGCAAGGATCAAGTGCTCTCTACGGGTTGATTCTTCGACACTCCATCGCGGTGAATCACCCACAACCGCTCACAATATGAGTTGGGTCATCCACAAGCGCTCCGGATGATCACCAAGCTCCCAATCACCACCAAGCCGTCTAGGTGATGGCGATCACCAAGAGTAACAAGCACGAACTCTCACTTGACCATGACAAGCCTAATGAAATGGGTCGATGCACACTTTGCTACTCTTGATCTCACTAATGAGGGCTCTCTTTGGGATTCTCAAATCTCAATCACCTCACTAGGACCTTGTTCTTCTTGGCACTCTCAAACGTGTTTCTCAGCTGTTGGAATGAGCAAAAGTGACTCCACACATGAGTGGAGCATCTATTTATAACATGGGCTGAAAAACGAACCGTTATGTGCCTCTGTAGGGTGACCGGATGCTCCGGTTATGGTGACCGAACGCTCTAATCAGTACACCCCGAACTCCAGTGTTTACAGTGTGACCGGACGCGTCCGGTCGTGATTTTCCCTCTCTGGAACCTTACTGGAGTCGACCGGACACTGCCTCTCAGCGTCCGGTCACTTAACCTCTCAGCGTCCGGTCAAACCAGATGCAATCACCTTGGTCAAATGAACTGACCGAACCCTGAGCCAGCGTCCGGTCAAACCGGAGCCAGCGTCCGGTTAGTATTTGACCCTCCATTCACTTTCAACTCTCGATCATATGTGAATGAAGTTTGCTCCAATGGATCTTAGGCATATTTAAGAGCTACCTAGTGCTAGTTTTAACAAGTGTGCACCACACCTAACTCACTAGACTCACCTAGGTCAAGCTACCCGTCCATACCCCCCTTAATAGTACAGCCAAAGGAAAAAACAAAGTCCTAAACTACTCTAAGTGTCTCTCCAACTCTAATCGACACTTAGAACTAGTCATCCTTAACCGTATCGTCCATCCTTTGAAACCGAAATGATTTCCATCGTAGGGGAATGACCACCTTGATTTCCCAATCGATCTCCATTACCATGACCTAACTTAATTGCCTCTGCAAAACACACGTTAGTCATAGTAATCTTGTATTGTTATTAATCACCAAAACCCAACTAGGGGCCTAGATGCTTTCAATCTCCCCCTTTTGGTGATTGATGACAATACCACCTCGAGTATGTGAAGGAGTTGAGGTTTTTAACATGCTTGGATCATATAAGCTTTTGTCAATAAGAACAAAGGTGTTAGTCAAGCTTATATGAACCAAGCCAACATGATGTACTCAAAAGATATGAAATAAGCATGAGTACTAGTAATAAAGCTCATTTGCATCGGAGTAAAACGCAGAAGCAAAGGCAAATGAGCATAACACAAGTGATATGACATATAAATAATCTAAAGTAGAGAGCACACATGTCATATATCACGATCACGTAGATATCACTATCACATAAATATAGTTTAATGCATAACAAGTAAACACACGACGAATGCATAATAGTGTATCACACATAAAAACTCCAAATGTAATATATAAGCTAATATAATAACTAAGCTCCTCCTAAATACGTTGCTCCCCCCTAAATCTATCATACTCGATCCCTCTCCCCCTTTGGCGTCAAACACCAAAACCTAAGGGTCGGTCGGCGGGGCTGCAGCGGATGAGCCGGGCGCTGAAGTACGAGGAGCAAGCTGAAACTAGGTGCTGTCGTCATTTGACCCTGAGCTCTAAGTAGTCTGACCCTCTGTAGCTGTGATCAGTGTTGTAGCAGTTTGGGTCGGATCAGGAACTGGAGCTGCTGTAGACTTGAGCTGGTAGGACTATAGTAGGCTCTGATGATGCCACTGAGGAAGGGAGCGTCTCTATAGTCCCGGTAACAGGTGCAACTGTAGAAGGACCTAGGACATGTAGATATGGAGGAGTAGGCATCCCTGTCAACTCACTGAATGAAGCACCAAGGCTCCTGGACACTGTGGTCTCTGGCACAAGCAGCGAAGACGTCCCAGCCGGTGTGAAGCCCTTCTAAAAGGGTGTGAACTACGGGGCTAGCGCTAGCAAAGCAAAGTACTAGGACACCTGCTCTATAGGAGAAGTAAACGGCGCTGGTGGCTATCCCTGACTCTGAAGCCCACTGGGCTGTAATGCTAGAGTCATCGAAGTAGTGGCTGCCTGACCAAGCTGGGGCGAAGGCTGTGTCGGTGGAGCCCCAATGGTTGTCACTACATGCTGCATAAATCCAAGGAGCTGCTGCTACATGAGTATCTGCTGCTGATGCATGGCCTGCTACTACTACTATAGAGCCTGAGTCTGCTGCTGAATAGCTAGCTGCTGCTGCTGGATCGCCTGCTGCTGCTGGAACTCATCCTGCCGAGTCTGGAACTGTGCAAACATAGCAGCTGTCTCCTGAGCCTAGCGTGCCTGGTCCTGCCTCATCCGCTCAAGTATAGCAAGGAGAGCGGGGTCTGTCTATGGGGCAGGTGGCGCTGAGCTGGAGCTGCCGGCCTCATGTTCATGTC